GTACGTGCTCAAGCTAATACATTTGCAACACAACTCCCAGGTCGGTGTACCTCACGTACGAGCAGGACGTGGAACTTCAAGGGACACCAGGACTTCGATTCATCGTCGATCCTGACGTTCTCGAAGACCCAGAAATTAACCTGGCCAATAAATGCTTTTGTTTATCGAATGGAACATGCTTGAAAGCCGGAGTTTTAGATCTCTCCGAATGTAGAGGTAAGTCGAAAAGAACCCGTGATGCTTGAATCCCATTGAAGAACGATCCTTTATGGTGCTGCATTCTGAAGTCGAAGTCGTATCTTGTGTATGGGATAACTTTCCTAAAAGTTTCCTCCCTATAGATATCCCGTTGGTGATGTCCATGCCGCACTTCTACTTAGGATCAGAAGAATACTTCAACGAATCCGTCGTGGAAGGATTGGAGCCGAGGAAAGAATGGCACCAGACCTTCGTCGACCTCGAGCCTGTGCGAATCCATCTCTCGTCTAAAATATCGATTCGGTCACGGTCTGAATTGAAACTGTACAGTAGTCAAAGGCAAAGAATAGAAGAGGACCCAATACTCTTCGGAAAATCACGTATCATCTCCCATCCTGTGCAGGCAACAAGCCTAGAGCGAACGTAGGGAATGTAAAGGCGAAGCCAAATTCATAGATGAATTAATACTGTGAAATATGCATGCAATGTATCTCGCAACTATGATTATATTAAGACGTGGAGTGCCACACAAATCCTTTAAATCGTTCTGTCTGCAGTACGAAGATTCTGGTCAAAGTACTCAAGATATGTAAATGCTCCAAAAATATTGCAGTGCTACTATGGAAGCTAAAACGATTGCATCACCTTCAGGGAAACAAAACTCAGCTGTGGGAAATTCTAAATGTTCATCTGTGAAAACTCTTTGGATCATTGCTCATAGACTTATTTGATATTCATTGGGAGTAACTTCATGAAATCACATCGCTCGAGTGTTTCCTCCTCTCTACTACCAACAGGAGCACTTGTCTATTCTCAATGTCTTATTTCTTTTCAATAACTGCTGATGGTATTGCCTTTGCGCAACAAATTCGGATGAAATTTAAATTCAGTTGGAAACAGATTGCATAGCGAACGTTTCATGAGAATAGGTTCAGTATGAGCAGAGATATTTGGGTAAAAAGTTGTTGATATTATTTCGCCACACGCTGCACATTGAAAAAGTGAAAGAGGAAAGATAGGAGGAGGAAGAAATACAGAAGTATCGCAATAGCAGGAATTAGGAGTTTTCTTCAACATTCACTCGGTTCGCTGCTCGCGGATCACCGGCCATGTTAATAGACAGAGATGAAAGGCACCCTTTCCGTGAGTCGAGTCCTCCTCTATTACTGGTCCTTGGCATTGTCTCCAGATCTAGCTTCTTGTCAAGGAGGAACTTGGATTCACATATGGTACAGTTGTGGCTTAAGACTGGTCGCGCGAATACTTGACACAAAAACCAGAGATCTACCATCGCTGCGAATCCTGAAAACCTTGAAAATAAACATATACTATAAATCGAGTTCTTGTCTTGTTAGGTTTTCAATTATAAGGAATTTAGAGAACTAGAGGCTTTTCTTTTCGAGCTAGCAATCTCCCAATGGTCGCACCCTCGGCCCTACTTTGAGAATATAATTTCCAATGCCTTAACGATTTGGCTATTATTTCGCCCCATTAGTCTCGTTTTCTCGGCCTTCAAGGACTTGATTCAGCATAACCTGTTTTGCACGGAAGGACTTTGGCATTCCATTCATTTCTTTATTATGACAGTTGCTTCTATGATCGTTGAACTCACCACACTGTCGATATCAGATAATTTTTTTCCAGACTCATGCCGAATCTTCTGTTTCCTTCTCCAGTTGACCGGGACCATCCTGAATGCCTCCAAGAAACTTCAAGTGAACTTCAGGCTGAGGCCGATCGAGAAGTATCCGAGCTTCGCTAATGTCTCGGAAATGCTCTTCCCAATATTTTGGATGAATGAGGTAATGAATGAGATACTCAGTTCCATTTTCAAGATTTTATATCGTGGAAAGTCATAAGATGTGATTGTATGATCCAATCAATATTCATGCAACATTCTAGTCGATATGATGCTGTCACAATGCCGATCTCGTGCATCTCGTATACATTTTATGATGGCTTCCGGGAAGCTTTCTATCTTAAATTCCCTTCGAATCTCTGAAGCCCTTAAAATTTACTCAGACCTCTTCGAACCCAAACGAATCGACTTGATATTGGTTCCCCTGAATTCGTTTCAGAGCGTAACCTTGACCCAGGAGTTATCCGACGATCTCTACGACAGGATCGTCATGCCACAAGAAGCCATCACAATCGGATCGGAGGCTGCCTTCGGTATCGGGCTCTTCGGGATATTGGTGGTGGTGGGAGTGTGCGCCCTTCAAGGACTTCGGAACTAGAGATTTCGTCCCTTCTAGTGAGACTCGTCCATATGCCGAGTTGCTCAATGCAGGCGGCCTTCGGTATCGGGCTCTTCGGGATATTGGTGGTGGTGGGAGTGTGCGCCCTTCAAGGACTTCGGAACTAGAGATTTCGTCCCTTCTAGAGAGACTCGTCCATATGCCGAGTTGCTCAATGCATTTGGATGAAGTTTCCCTATGTTAAACTGTAAAAAGACGATTCGGTGAGATATTCATGATTATTCATGCGTACAGAGAGAAAACATTCGCGAGAAGTTGCTGCAGCTCACGATCGACGACTACTACCCCCCCCCCCATCAAAGTATTGTTGACTTTTCTTCTGACGTGGTTCCGTCACTTTATGGACAAGGGCGACTAGTGCGACATGGGCAATGACTGGGATCATCCGAGTCCATTTATGGTCGTCGTCTCGATGTTCACATACGTGTTGTATGGTTTCAGTGCTATTATAACATCTGACTGATATTTGTTGCCATAGACTGTCAGTATTGTATAAAGGAATAAATATCGAATGCAACAGAAAATTGCGCTTCCTCGTGAGTCTCTTCGTCAGCTTTCTAGCAGCCCAACCGCTGAATATTGACCAGGGAATACGTCTTTTTCAGGTGATTCTGAGACCTTCCTGCAATGACGCAAGCTCGCACTCCTCAAAGGATTCGCTGATGGGAAGCAAAATGGTTCACCTCTCCGTCGTGGCATCCCTTGGACGACGCCGAGATGTCCTTAAAGGATTTTCTTTCAAATAAATGCCGAAAAATATGCCAGAATGTATCCAATCGTGATTGATCGATGATCCAACGTGAAGGAACGCATAAGGCATAGATGAACTCCTGTTCATGAGAATCGCTTTCGCGAAGCCTTCCCAAAAATCCTTGGGTGCAAGTCTGCCCCCCTCTGTCTCCTCCCGAGGCTTTAACGAGCCTCTTCTGCTAACGTTCTCGCCCCAGCCAGATGAACCGTCCCATGGTATCTGGCGACGCTCGCAAGTCGCCGATTGAAACGCCAGAGAGCTTCGTGTTGTCCTCTCGGTAACTTCTCAGGATTCAAACGATTCGCGAGTAAGAAATATTTGAAACCCTTTCAATAATTTTGAGACACCTTGCGTTCTTATAACGGGTAAATGGACGGGTAAATACAGCACTGATGAATTAACTGAAAATGTATAACATGAATTCAAACGCTGGAGAATGTGAAAAAACTAAGTATTTCTTATTCGTGGACTTGCAAACTCCAATGACGAATTCTTTTGGAAATGGATAAATTGAAGATTGCAGTCATGATACCTCTCCCAGGCGACGGAGCTCATCTCTCAGAGAAATGGCGTAAATTCTTGCAGAGGGCATTCTTGACTAACAGCAGTTAAGATGACTTTGGGAATATAGTAAGAAGCCTTCCAGAAAATTTTTTTTTGGAATCCTGCGCGCTCAGGAAAAACGCAAGGATTCCGAAGAAGTTGTTGCTCGAGCCACAGCCACTCGATGGACGAGTTTCTTTCTCGAAATCCAATCTAATTAGTTTTTTGGGACTTTGCCATTCTTGTTAAATGTTATATTTAAATTATTAATGCACTGAACAGTTATCAATTCGAATGGTGCACATTTTCTCGTTATATTGAGTAAACAACAGATCAATAAATTATAATGGTACTTAAAAGAATGGGTATCGTTTGAAGACCCTGTCCTTTACGTACTGTGTACTCACTGTCCGAGTCTTTCCGGAAAATAGAATTCTTAATCGAATCCTTTTCTTCAAGCAAGGCGTCAATAATTGTGGCATTTTTGAATTCAATGCAAAGCGAGAAAAGGTCAACAATTTCGGCCTTTTCTTGAAGAGTCACCATATATAATATGGAATCAGCTGATGGGTGTGATCGAAGGCCAAACGATAATGTTAGTACAATAAAGTGGAGACCCTTGGTTATAGTCCAACTAGACCACACCCGCGTCTCGTGGAATCCGCTTCGCGGATAACAAAATGTCAACAGAGTTAAAGAACTCTGGGTTAATTTTTTATAAGTCGTAATAGAAAATACAATCAGTAAAGGGATTATTTTCGAATTTTGAAGTGCCACGCTTAAATTGGATCAATAATAGGGTATGCGGTACGTCATCAGGGAACCCTCAACTGGATGCATCCACATTCTCAGCGAGTTCCGCCTCGTTGCATTCAAGTGAGACATGTTGTTGAAATTTCGAACTCCCGGACATAGGATAAATAATGACTTTGAGCCATGCACGGGATGCGGATCAGCTCTATTGAACAGACACGACCCGCGGATCGGGAGGGCAGTTCGGTTGGTAACCGAGTTTCTTGTGCATGGGCATACAAAACCCCGTGGACCCGTATCTATCATGTTCATGAGTTTCATGTTACCATGAATAATCATATACTCTGGAGCATTACATGCATGCAATTACGAATGTTTCGCGATTGGCAGCAGAAACATGGGCATACAAAACCCCGTGGACCCGTATCTATCATGTTCATGAGTTTCATGTTACCATGAATAATCATATACTCTGGAGCATTACATGCATGCAATTACGAATGTTTCGCGATTAGCAGCAGAATAACCAGAAAAAAGGAGTCGTATCGAAGAGACTCACATAGTTCGAAGAGGTCCCTGATGAAAAAGTGGTCAGCAGAAGATAAAGCCGAAATCGAGTGAAATATGGGGAATAAAAAGAAAATGGGAGCAGTGAAATTAGGGAATCCCAGTCCTCCGTCAGAGTGAGAGAAACACATGGAGAAGAGCGAGCGAATAGTCTGACCAACGAGAGGATCCGAGGAAGACTGTCATCCCGAAATCTCACCTCTCCCACGATTCCCCTTCTTTCCCCTGTGCACACATTGTCTTGCCTTCGAATTTGCTTCCTCCGATTCCCAAATCCAGGAGGTGGGGCGCATGTGCGTGCATGCAATTTTGCAAGTGGAAGTATTCCACCACGGGTCGCATGGTTCTCCTGTCTTCTTTTGCCTCAGGTCAAAATCGGTCAGAAATGAAAAAAAAAAGAATCCGGGAATGAAAAAAAGGAAGGTGAATTTCGATCGGATTCATGATGTAAATGTTGCAATTGTGGACGGCGAGCGCCCGAGTGCCACGTCTCAGATTCAATTGGGAATTGTTCTTAAAACGAGTCATTAGCGAATTGCTGTAGTTATATTCTACTTTCCTCGTAGCGGAAGCAACGCCACATTCTCAAAAATAAATTCAACTGTGCTTTTCGTAAAAATAATCTATTCACGCTGCAACTTTACGCCGAGTAGATACCACGCTAAATCACTGTCTCATCCGTTAGTGTTAGTTGACGTGACGAGGATGAGACATTGGAGAGATTTGATAATCCAGTTTTGGCACTCAGAGAGCAGGAGAACGGCGGCGTAAACGTCTTTCTAGGCGTTAGATTTCCAGATTTTCGAATGCCATTTTGGCTATGAGTTTCAGATTTAAACAGGGACGGGCATTTTCCACAGATCTCAAAGCAGATGATGCACAAACGACAACTAATCTGAGGGCATACACATTTATGGTGCTATCTATTAATGGTTAACTTGCAGATTCCTGGATATCCAAATCGTATGCCCTTTTCACCAGGTTTTAGCTATTGTAATCGCCTTGCATGAGGAATTCCAGGGATTTCAGCTGGACAAACTCCCTAATTATAGCTGTTGTCCGTGGACGGGATGAACCGCAGTCACGGATCCAACGTGACCAGACCGTTCAGGAGGTCCTACACAAACTAGAACGGATGACGTTATTGATGACGTCACCAGCAGTCTTGAAGTGCGTGAGGGACACTTCCAGCCGTTCTCACAGCAACACGATTGCGTCGTGAAGATCGACCAATCAGAAACGACTCAATTGCCACTTGAAGTTCGAGGCAACGTCGTATGATTAGTCCTCATTCGGACGGCAGATGATTCATTGTGTTTTGCTGGAACTTACACCTAATCTAACCACACTTGAAAATAGACCTATCTGCCTTTCCGTCCTCTTCAAAAAACTGATAACTAAAACTCTGTTACTGTTGCCATCTTTAGCTCTCAAATGGCCAGGATTATGGCAGGAGTACCTACGGACGGCTCTTCCGGGAACCAAACGTTCGACATGGAGCAGGAGCTGTTTTCGTGCGTCTGCTGAAGTAGTACCTGCGCTGGTTTTTAAAATTCTGCTCACGTGTCACAGACTTGCGACATGTGTCGTGAGACTTGCCCCACTACTGCAGCAAATCTGCACTTTTTTAAGTGTCATTTCCAAGCATATGAATGATTGCTGAACCATGTTAACACCAGAGGATCGCATCCATGGGATTATATTAATGGCCAAATGAGAATCACCAGCTGAAATCGAACGTAAACTCTTGTGTGTATGACCTACACCTAACGTAAATGACCTGGCAGCCTTGATGGTATCAGATACCTTGATGGTAACAGATCCAATTGTTGCTGTGGTTTCCTGTTAGCCGTTCATGTAATCACTTGGATCCGTTCCTCACAAGCTAAAATGGTTCCACTCACTCGCAAGAAATGGAAACCAAATTTACATAAGTGCTGAATTTGCTCCATATTATAGATTAACATGTACTTCTTGCATCGATACTGGGTGGCACATAATATTTAGCCCCCTTGTGGTGCCTACTGGGGAACAAATCTCCTTATATCTGGAAATTGCATTTAATGTAATAGCTTACACGTTCAAAAAAATAAATAAGTCCATCAGGAACATTCCTATTCAATTGCAACGTCTGGTCTAGGATGCTCCAGGAGTGTGGAGACTGGAGGATTTGCCAGCGAGCCGTCTCACCGTTTCGCTGGAAGACATCAAAGATATCTAAACCCTATTCAAGGCACTTTTTAATTCTTGATGCTCACGTGTTGAAATGCTGCTGATGGACATACTAAATTTCGAAGGTGTGTCAAGAAACCTTATGATCAATTGTACTTCCCATGAACAAAAAATGTATTAATATTTTCGTCGA